ACTCTGCCCTATGACCTTCGTGTGAGTTCAACTCACACACACACACACACACACACACACACACACACACACACACACACACACACACACACACACAAATGGCATAAAATGCAAACATTCTCAGCTGGAGGTTGTAATCAGCAGCCACAGCGAGGTCCTGCTGCCTCAGGAAACCTGCTGACTAAATGGTTGTTTCCACAATGTGATTGATTACAGAGTTCACTGTCATTATTAGTGCATCGRATGTTTCATCTCTGTTTTCACTTCAGATGGCGTTCGCGAGATTTGTTGCCCGAAATAATGTCACGCAGCTGAAGAGGTAAAGTGGATTAATGACTTTAAACAGTGTTCTATCAGAAATCATTTTCCCCCTCTGTCATAACGTTACAAAGTAAAACTGGAATTCTGATAAGATTGGGATGCTGTTTAAAATGTGAATAAAAACAGAACCCAGTGATAGTCCATGTATTTAATGGTCATTTGATTTTCGTTTTAAAACAGATATTGAAAAACAAATAGTTCTATTTTTTATTTTGTATTCCGAAAACAGAAAAATGATCCTACTTTTTATTTTCTCAAACCGAAATTTAACACTGTTGTCATCAAACCATTTAAGGTGAAGCTAATTAAATAACTATTTACAGGTGACTGCCTATAAATAAATAAATGTTACATTTGCATTTCTCTAACTAACACCTCACAATACATATTTTATCATTACAGCTGGTTTAGCTAATAGCTTTCATAAAACTAGTTATCGAGCTCCGCCGCAATAAATAAACGCTAGGTGTATAGCTTTACGTTTATTTAAAGCTATCAGGTAATAGTTTGTATATCATTGGCTGTGTCTCAATTCATGAGCTGCATCCTCATCACATTTGTCGGCCACACTGCCCCGCACCGAGTGCGGCAGTGGAATACGGCCCACAAAATCTCGAAAATCAAGAATGCTTCAGAGTATCCTTCCTGGTCGAGGATATCCCAGGATTCAATACGCTAACAGCAAACTAAATAAAGAAACAAAGACATCTGAGTTTTTTTTTTTTTTTTTACCAAGTCAGCGTAGTTTGGAAATTTATCACGGACAGTTGACTGAACAGTTGGTTTTTAAATGTAAGTTTATCAACTTAGCTGATGAAATTCATGCTGCAATAAGATGTAAAATAAAATGCAGCTACAGGTACTGATGCTGGAGCTAAACTCAAATTTTAATGTTTTTTATTTATTTATTTACATGTAAAGGTTTAATTGTGAACTTATTCTTCCAGTGAAAGGAAGTGTGAGTACACATCCCAATGCATTTTAAGTCTGATATGAAACCGATCACTAAGTTAAGACGATAGTGCGTGGTCATGCAAACATACATCTAGTCAATGTCAAGCGAAGGCCAAACCGTCTCATTTCACAGCAGTTTCATGCAGCCTACCCTGGCTGGGAAGGATGTGGCCCATGTGGTCCAGGTGGGCTGCGTACTCATGAGGATGCAGCCCGTGAATTGAGACACAGCGACGGATAATTCAAACATGACGCTGTTTACTGGAGCTTCTGGTGCTTTTAACACATGAAGCCTTTCTCCAAGAGGACCATGGTGAGGAACTTCAGGTTCTACAGGACAGTGTTGAGTTGCCTTCACAACAGTGTTACACTTTCGGTTTGACAAAAACAAAAAGACTGACTATTTTTGGAGTATAAAATGAAAATAGAATAACTATGCATTTTTCATTGTAAGAGTGAGCTTAAGGTGAATTAAGCTTTTCCCATATCTCTCATACACAAGGTTATGAGGAAACTTTTACCAAGGTATTTCTCATTACTTGTTAATATCTTGACTGTGTGAAGTGAAAAGTGACACAATAAGTGAACGTTCAGACGAGTTCAAGTTGATTCATAAAAGACTATGCAATCATTTATTTGCACAAATTGAACAGATCATAAGT